GGGTGAAAAAATACCCATTTAAAGAATCAGTTCACGGTTGAATAATGGGTATATTTTTTACCCATTAATGGGTGAAAAAACACTTCGAAATTTTATCGTCTCATTTCCGTCACCGGCTCATTGGGAATGCCCCTAATAAACGGGTACCATACTCTAACGATATCATAGATGGTACGACCATCCCACATAAAGTTGGGATGATATCCCGAATTGGTGGTTAGGCGCTTCTTATGGTTATTGTTTATGCGGGGCAAACCTCGATGCAAACAGTTACTGTCCGCAGCAACGATCTCCGGAAAATGTTAGAATCCAAAACGTTGGAGAGGCTTACGGATAAGTCAATACAATGGATAATTTGTATTATAATGTTTCGTGAAAAATTTGAGTGGAACACCTGCATTTATTGTCAATGTTTTAAAAACATTTTTACATCAACGAGCGCTTGCATCCTCCATTTGTAAAAATGGGTATTTTTTCACCCATTTTACGGTAAACACAATATAAGAAAATGGGTGAAAAAACACCCATTTATTGACAGACCACCCATTTACCCATTTATGAGTAAACCATAGTTTACCCATTAAATGAGGAGGGGCACTTTTAGCGGAAATGGGTATTTTTATACCCATTAATGGGTTTTTGCGAAACACCGTGTGGGGCCCACGATTCGCGGGCCCGCAGCGATGTTAGCTCTTTTCAAGGCAAGGCAAACAAGAGGGCTGCCACCCAGCTGTTACCGTGTACATGTTTGGCTATACACCCTTTTCTTATGTTGGTCTAGATTTTCTCTTCCTATATTCGACCAACCTTTCCAGTTCCTTTGTGGTCTTTTTGAGATCGACATTGCTTTGTTTGACAGTTCCACGCCTACAGCCTTTATCCGTTTTTCTGTGCAATTTTCGTAAACAAATTCGAGTTGTAGCAACTTTTTTTTTGGCCTTGTCTTTCTGACAGGCTAAAACCAAAGTTCCAGCTTCGTAATCATTAATTTTTTTATAGAATCAACATTATATTAGTTTGAATTTCTTCAAAAAATGTTCAAAACTGTTCGATATTGCATGACTCACCAGTATCTTAATACTACTTCAACTCGTTCGTACTGTGTTCCGGTTGTCAATATATTCGATAGGAATGTAAAACGACTTCAACGAGAGCGTGCCGCTAAAAGGTAAATGAGAATGCATTGTTGTGGTAGATTTTTAAAGTTTATTATGCAATGAATATCTTTAAATTTCAGCGAAGATGTCGAGCTGTATGACTATATAAAAGATGAAGTAGGTTACAGGATATCGGACCGTATATTCGATGTGAAGCGACCGTTTGTAAATGCGGTAGATTTAGGAGCTGGTCGGGGCTATGTTACGAATCATGTGCTAGGAGAAACAGTTAAAAAGCTAACCGCAATCGACTTGAGTCCAACCATGCTATCGCAGGTGAAAGGAACCCCTGGGCTGGATTTCAGTGTGCGCGAGATGGATGAAGAGAAGTTCGACTTTGAGCCTAGCAGTCTGGACCTGGTGGTCTCTAGTTTAAGCCTTCATTGGGTCAACGATTTGCCGAAGTGTTTCAGAGCTGTAAATAAGGCACTGAAACCGGATGGAGTTTTTATTGGAGCTATGTTTGGCGGGGAGACTTTGTACGAGTTGCGGTCGTCTTTACATCTAGCTGAACAAGAACGAAGGGGTGGTCTCTCGCCGCATTTGTCTCCTTTTACGCAGATAAGAGACGTGGGAATGCTATTGAATCGGTCAAATTTCACTATGCTGACGATTGACACTGATGAGGTTGTGGTAGGTTATCCGTCAATGTTCGAACTGATGTGGGATTTGAAGGGCATGGCCGAGAGTAATGCCGCCTTCAATAGGCCGCTTCATATCAGCCGGGACACGCTGTTGGCCGCAGCTGCAATCTATAAAGATATGTATGGAAAAGATGACGGAGTTACAGCCACGTTTCAAATCATTTACTTTGTTGGATGGAAGCCATGTCCTAGTCAGCCAAAACCATTGGAACGAGGATCAGCTGATGTTTCGTTAAAGGATTTAGGTAAACTGATGGATCCGAAAAATGTGGGTGATAAAAAATAAGTGCTTATACCAGTTAGATTCCTATTCATTCATAGGTTTATTATGCAGGAATAATAGAAAGAACAGAAATGTAAAAGGCAACTTAAATAAATTGCAAACGATCTATGCGTCAAAATGGAAATTAATTGTTTTGTGTGTAGAAAATGATTATTCTCTTCGATGGTCCGTCTAAACTATGCTTACTTAAGTAAGGTACCGCTCAAAAACTTCTCTCAATATTTCATAACAATAATCGTTTTGCAAAATAGTAGTACGTTGCAAACCATCATGATCTTGATAAACGTGGGTAAACTTATCAAAAAATATGCGTTTAAATCATTCCATGGTTTGCAACAGAACTCCCCTGAATCTCCCTTAAATACTAAATTACACGAAACTGTTTTTAAAGTTCTGAACGAATACGTTTTAACGTAAAAAAAATATATATAAAAAGTATAATAGTATTGACTGAAAAATTCTGAATACAATAACGAAGAACGAAAATATAGCACATGTATTAGCAACAACATATAAATTGGCTCATTGCATTAGATATAATGGAAAAGCTTAGGATTCGTACAGAAGACGCTGGTAATGTGGGTGAATCTCACTGGTCGGAACATGCAAGCTAAATTCCAGTGCAACCAAAACGGCAAACTCCGAAGCGATCAATTCTTTCCGGTTCAAGCGAAAGACGCTCTCTGTTTTCTGAAAAAGAGAGAAACAAAATGTTGGCACCCGGAAATAAATTACTAGCAAAATCCAGCAATACTTACTTCAATCAAACTTTTCAGCACCTCGCCCTTGACGTCATTCAGTTTGGCACTGAGCAGAAGACAAGCGCCGGCGCACAGTTTACGATTCTCCTTGTTGATCAGATTAGACAGGATCAGCTTTTCGAAGTAGACGTATGCTTGCGAGATGGTCAGGAAATCGATGCGTGAATCCAGCTTGTTGATGCGTTTCATTTCACGTTTAATACTGGGGAAAAAGTGAAAGATGATATGATGAGTTTTATACTTCACTTGAAAAGAATGGAGAAGTTGAGCAATTACGTCATATATAAGGTTTATTGGTAAGTGTAAATTTTTTGGCAGCACTGCTCCAGTTTTGGCCCTAAGGCTTAATTCAAACTTGAAATAAATTTTAATGGTTTCATTTGGGTAGATACATATACTCTTCTTCTTCTTCTTTGTCTTGGATTGTTGTTTTTCGTGAAGAATGAAAAAAAATGTGAAATTTTAAATACAGCCATAACTCTATATTGAAGGGACCATTGAGTAATAGAATTATCGACTTATTGAATAACAATATTTATGACATTTGGGATACGATTATGGGCATGGGCATAGCAGTCATGCACTGCCGTTGGACATATAACCGTATAACTTTCCCATGGCTTATGGAAGTATAATCGAATATGAGACAGTTATGCGTCCACCAGCAGTGCAGATCGCAATCAAATTCTTTCAAATTTGGCACAGTTGGTCAATACAAATCGAAAAAGCAATGGGGACCAGGGGTTACTCCTCTGCTCATTAGCGTTAGACGATTTACTAACAAAGCTAATCAAAGGGTGTTTAAGCAATTGGATTGTATGAAGGGGACTCTAAGGAACACCTACATATTTTAAAACAAATTTCGAATCCATCCATTAGTTACAGTCACCAAATTCAATTTTAGTCGATTATTCAATAGACCGCACTCTCAAATCGGACAAACCCGCCCAGGATCAGTGTTGTATTCTTTACTGATGGATCAAAACAAAATGATAAAGTGGGAGCTGGTGACCGTGACAGGTGCCGGTGTTAATATTTTAGTCTCTGTGGGTGCCAACTGTTTTCCTCGCTGTTTTCAGACTGAAATAGAAACTAGAGAGAGTCTAGCATAAGAGAGGAGCGGATTTGAAACATACTAGCAACACTGCCAAGGCAATTAAGATATGCACTGCTCGATTGACTCTGGTTTTGGCCAGTGCTGCGTGCTGTCAACAATGTCAATTGACGTAAGATATCGGTCTAGCACTGACTTTCAGTTCCGCCCTGCGCTTTGGACAGAGAGCATTTAGGGCGTCGTTGTGCCAATTTGGTCTGGGCACATTTCGAGTATAAGAGAGGGATTGCAGTTAGATCAAAAGTGCCTGAGAAAAATGCAATTTAAATGTTTCTTAGATGGTAGTACCGCCACTTGTGGCGTGCATAATCAATTCCCTTGCGTTTGACGTTTACACACTACAGTCATCTGTTGAGTGTATACGACAGATGGCGGTAGTGTAGCAGCAATGTTCAATGAGTTGTGTCTGTTTGTCCGTGTTGTAATATTGAGCTAACGTTAGGATAAAATCAAAACATTGAGAAATATAACGCATCACTTTCAGAAATACTTCTCTTCGCAACCGATGAACCATTCTGATGGCCATATGAGTACCCAAGGAACCATATAGTCGAAAAATAGTTTGTATATAATTACTATGCTTAAGTATGGTTAGTTAGCGGATCCGATGAAACTGTCACTTTTTGAAACTAATCCCTTTCGTTCTCTTTTCGCACTTTGCATATAACACCATCTCATACTAATCTGTACGGACCGCTCATTGCGAGTGCTCGCTCATGACTACACTCAAAAAATTCTACACGCTAATGCTAAGTTTTTTTTGTGAGTTTACCAGACGCAAGTAGAATTTAGTTATCAGTACTTGATGTTCATAAGGAACACATTTCATATCCACTTTTTTATCGCATAACACTTACGTGAAAATCACGTACGTTGAAGACACTCTTTTGACAGCTAGACTTTCACGTACATGCTACGTGTTTTACACGTATGAAAAAAATAAGAAACATGGCCACTGTGCAGTACATACTGCAAGAGGTGTTAGCTGATTTACAGATAGCTAGTTATTTATAGAAGATTTTGAACGGTAAAAAGAAATTTTATTGTATAAATAATGTAGATTAATTTGTATTATTTGTTTAACAGAAGACCATATTCCAAAGTTCTTTCAACCTTCCAACAACAAAAATTTGGAAGTACTCTGTACTCTGAGTTAATTTACTCCAGACAAACACGCCACCTCAGCCGCTCCGTAACATAAACAGAAGGAAAACAGTGTTCCCGCGAGTCCACGAGAACTTACTCAATGAAGCAGTGCAAGTGAAACTTCCGGTGAAACTGATAACAGTGCCTCTGTCAATCAAAGGTGGAACTTTGAAGCACAAGTGTTAGTGAGACTGCTCATAAACAGTGACTGTGTGTGTGACCTAATGTCACCGAAACGAATAATCATAACACGGTACTCGTTTTTGTTTTTGTTTTGCTCTACAAAATTTTACGACATTTTTTTATCCTAATCCCAGGTGGTTTTCCAACTCCAAACCAAAAAACTTGTCATGGTGGATCAAGTAGTGGATTGATCTTGGATCGGATACCTAGTGAAAGCAGTGGCGTCGCCTTAACCTCAATCTACCTGTGCACCAACTCTCAAAACATAAACAATTATCATAATATCACTTGCAATGGATAGATATCGAGTTAACTAGAAGATTAAGTGTATTTTTCAACCGATTCGAGTATGAATATGACATTAAATCTGTTTTTGAAAGTTGGTGCACAGGTAAAAAGTGAGGTTACACGACGCCACTGAGTGAAAGTAACTTTTACTTGTGAACGAGGAACCGAAATATTGTTTATTTTGCCTGTTGGAAGCAATCAATTATAAGGAATTGGCAGCTTCCATCACCATTGAGTGAACTACCGTCATTCGGAAGCTACTTAGAATTCAAGGATTCAAAAAGAAGAAAGATCCGTCCCAAACGGGACGTATTGATAAAGAATATATTTCCATTTTAGATGTTGTCAGAACAAACCATCGGATAGTGATCCTCTGTATGCTTTAACAATTCTTGGAATCGACCGACCCCTTACAGAGAATTATGACAACAGTGTCGAATTGGCCAGTGACATTCAAATGGTCAGCAAGTACTGTACCAAGTTGCCCAGCGTCACAACTTAACTCCCCCCGCTGTGGCCAGGTGCCAAAGCCGAGCGGAACGGGCATACAATTTACTAATGCACCATACATAAATGAATCAGTAAAGGGCTTAGGAAAAGGCATCGAGCGGCTACTTTCTACCAGAGCTGTGGCACCACCAACAGGCTGGGAACCGACTTTGTAGTGCTGGGTAAGATGCGCCAACGCGTGATTGGTTGGCAGCCGATCAACGCGAGGATGTGCAAGTTGAGGATTAAGGGCCGTTTCTTCAACTACAGCATCATCAACGTGCACTGTCCACACGAAAGGAGACCCGACGACGAGAAAGAAGCGTTATATGGGCAGCTGGAGCAGGTGTACGACGGCTGTTCGCAACGGGACGTCAAAATCGTCATCGGCGAAATGAATGCTCAGGTAGGACGGGAGGCAATGTATAGACAGCCTGCATGCCATATCGAACGAGAACGGCCAACGATGCGTGAACTTTGCAGCCTCTCGAGGAATGGTAGTTCGAAGTACCTTTTTTCCCAGCAAGGATATCCACAAAGCCACCTGGAGATCACCTGACCAACACACAGAAAACCAAATCGATCACGTTCTAATGGACGGTAAATTCAACATTGAGCAACTACGGGACGCTGGAGTTGCCCAGGACTACGCGCAGCAGCTGGAAGTTGCACTACCCACGGAGGGGCAGCTTTGCGCAACTTCTCTTGAAGATGGCTGGGCGATTCGGCAGGTTCTGCAGAAATGCCGCGAATACAACGTGCCCACACATCATTAAATGATTGTTCATCGATTTCAAATCCGCATACGACACAATCGATCGAGATCAGCTATGGCAGATTATGCACGAGTACGGATTTCTTGGTAAACTGACGCGATTGGTCAAGGCGACAATGACTCGAGTGATGTGTGTTGTTCGAGTAGCGAATCTCGAAGAGGGTTACGGCAAGGTGATGGACTTTCGTCTCTGCTATTCAACATCGCGTTCGAAGGTGTGATCAGAAGAACTGGGATAGACACGAGTGACACGATTTTCAGGAAGCCCATTCAGCTTTTTGGCTTCGCCGATGACATTGACATCATGGCACGAAACTTTGAGACGATGGCGGAAACGTACATCAGACTGAAGGCTGAAGCTAGGTGGATTGGACTTGCCATCAACGCATCCCACCCAGATTGACGGTGACGAAATCAAGGTGGTCGATGAGTTCGTGTATTTGGGCTCACTGGTGACCGCCGAAAATGATACCAGCAGAGAAATTCAAAGACATCACACGGATAGAAATCTCCTTATACCTTTTGGCAAATTTCTATTGCTGATTATTCATAAAATGTATAAGTCAACTAATAAGCAGACGCCTTGCAAAAAGTTAATGAAGATCATGTGTCAAATGAAATGTATAAGCGATCACACATACCTTTTATGCATTCTTATAGGACCTATGTGGTTTGACTTATGGAATGTATAAGGCTGATGTTTTGGCAAAAATGTATAAGTGAAACACATGAAAATATTAATTGATTTTCGTTTCGTGCATTATGGCAGGGAATCGTGCCTACTTTGGACTCCGAAGGACGCTCCGGTCGAATAAAATTCGCCGCCGCACGAAGTTGACTGTCTACAAGACGCTGATTAGACCGGTGGTCCTCTACGGCCACGAAACCTGGACTATGCTCATGGAGGACCAACGCGCCCTTGGTGTTTTCGAGCGGAAGGTGTTGCGTACCATCTACGGTGGAGTGCAGATGGATGACGGAACGTGGAGGAGGCGAATGAACCACGCATTGCATCAGCTGCTGGGAGAACCATCCATTGTCCACATTGCAAAAATTGGGCGACTACGGTGGGCTGGGCACGTCGTAAGAATGACGCACGACGACCCAGTGAAAATGGTTCTCGAAAGCGACCCAACAGGAATAAGAAGAGGCGCGCAACGGGCAAGGTGGATCGACCAAGTAGAAGGCGACCTGCGGACCCTTCGCAGACTACGAGGCTGGCGAAGTGTGGCCATGGATCGAGTAGAGTGGAGACGACTTCTTCGGACAGCAGAGGACAACAAGGCCTTAGCCTGATTGGTAAGGTAAGGTAAGGATATTGCGCTTGGAGATCTCTATGTGTGTGAATGGACTCGTGAATTAACACACACCATCATACAAAGATTCAACTTTTGCTCAGAAGAGACGTTGCCGTTACTGTCTCCTGATTTTTGGAAGAGTTGCCAATCTTCTTGATTTGTAGTCTTCGATAGTATCCAATATTACTCTATCACTATTGAGAAATGATGAAGTATGCCGTTTTGATAGACGTCTGACGTCTTGCCTTCATCGCAAGGAACCGATTCTAATAGATTATATTTAAACTCTTCGAAGAGTTAAAGCACTCTTCAAAGGTGCGTCCCTTTGGCAGTCAAAATCGGACTACTTAGCAACAAATTTAAGCAATGGCACCGATGTTGGCCATTAATCGAACCCTAACCACGACTAGAGAACAACGAATAGAATATTGAGAATCACATAGATGATGACTAACCCAATTTTTCCTTGTTTCAAGATCATTCTTGGTGGTGCAGCCTGAGTCTTGTCACTATTAACAAGGCATAACACGTTTTATTTAACCTAGTGATCTCTTCGGCTTAATCGGATTCGGTTGTATGGTTAATTTAAATGTATTTACCAGACAACTGGGAAAATTATCAAATTTTGGGAAAAACCCGTAATGGCTTGGCTGTGTGTTGTGGCATTGTCATAAGCGTTTAAGTTATGCTGAACCTGGAGATGAACCAGTGTCTGGCTGAGAATCTCCTTAATAAAGACAACCAACCAACCAACCAACCTGAATTCTGAATGCTGTGTTTAAAATTTGGATTGGATTTTAAGCTATCAATTACGAATATTTTTGGTTAAGGCCTATGACTATGACTATGACTATGACTTATGTCGCTCGACCACAAATATTTGTAAGCATTACCTGCAATCAAGAAAAACATAACTGAAAACATTCGAGGGTATTCATATCAATAGAAGAAAGAAGTAAGTGACGAGACCACCAATCACCTTTTGATAATACTTTATCATATGACTAATCCAATGAAACATACACATTGATTTGTTTCAGTGACAAAGGCATAGGAGCCGATTTACTTCCGATCGAATTTATGATAACAATGGTGGTAAATTATCTCCATCACGTTACGTGTCTGGACTGATTATGTGCGTCACTTTTTTACACGGTTAAAATCGTGATAATAGACCCTGACCAGCCTTTTGAACTGTGTCCAACAAGGTCAAACAGAACCTCTAAATTAGGAAAAACTCTGTAAGATTTTGTTGCAACAATAAGGCATTCAACAAAATTCCAAGCTAGCGGACTACAATCTTATACATGAAAGTTTGCTGCGCGATAACTTTGTTTATTTGATAAAATTGTTTTCATCATTCTTATCGCGTGAAGCCTTGCTAAGATAAAATTAATGACAAACAAGGTAGCCGGCTAACAGTGTTTCATTCTCGGAGGTCATATATCTATGCATATCCTAACGGATATTATTATCTTTTGTAGGTACTTAGTTGATGTAGATGCTGCGAAGCAAAAAATCATAACAGCAAAGGAGTAACATAATATTTGCATATGGGTATAAATACTTGTGTGACACCAAATCACCCATCACACAGAAGTCATAATGAATGCGAAGAAGAAGGAATCTTATCAGCCTGTGTCACTTTGGTCTCACATTAGCAAGGCAGTATGATTTGATAACGTCCGTCCTTTACTTTACTGCGGTCAAAAATCAGACTCGGTAAACACTCACCTTCTTAGCTTGCTGAGCGTCAGCTCTATGTGGGGAAACTTTTCCCGAAACTTATCGTTGAGCTCTTTTTTGAGATCAGAAGGACGCACGTAATCGATCACGGATGTCATGTACGAGGTAAAGGTCAACAGCGTACGATGCTTGCCGGCGATCAATTCCGGATCGTCCAAAATGTTCGGCGAGTATTGCATCTGAAAATAGAAGCTCTCATATAAGGTGTTTGATCTTATAAAGCGCTGTGGCTGTTGATTAAAACTTACTCCAGAAATCGATGTAAATCCTTCCTCCAGGTCACCTTTGACAGCATCCAGACTGCTCAAATTCTGTAAAGGGCTTGCGGTGGTATTACGAATGCTCGATTCATAGCTGTAATACCGCGCAGCAGCGTGATTTTCCAACGATGCAAAATTTGTTATCTCAAAGCCGCTGCGGGAGCTTTTCTCGTGTTTTTTCTCTCGATGGTATTGTCTCGAGGGGATCAGTAAATATCCGTAGGATGTTTCTTGTCCTGGCTCGCCGCCCCGTTCAATTCCAAGAAGACGGAATGCATCAAATGGTAAGTCGTTGATCGACGACAAGGGCCTGGTTCCGGATGGATTACGGCGACGACCCTCGCGACGCAACTCAGCACGCGAAGTTTTTCCTTTGTAGTGAGGTATCACCGAAAATAGGAAACAGGGAGTGCGTTTTGACATTAACACCACACGTTCGTCACGGAAGTTATGATTGCGGCCAACGTTCGGAGGCAAGAATTTAACCTCACGCGACGACGGATCCTGGATCAAAACATTGCGGCGTCCTTGGATCAAGCTCTCCGTGCTGCTATTGCTTGGCAGCTCACGTTTCTCGTCAGCACCAGTGTTCACCAGCAGCGTTCGTTTGACTCCAGGCGCTCCACCGCGGAGCGAGGCGGAGTTGGCTCGAGCCCGTTTGTCCGCCGGATAATAGTGAGGAATCCCTTCGTTGGGATTCACATTCTCTCTGTGGGGAATAGTAACAATAGAAAGTAATTTTTATTCACTGCTAACCTCACCACATTTTTAACATTGGCCAATAGTATTCAAAACAATCTGCGGAAATTAAGCTTAGGGGCCATACATTAATTATGTCACGCTAAATTGCTAAAACAATTACCCCTCCCCCCTTCCCTTTCGTCACGTTTTTCCTATACCTAATGCATTGCTTATCACAGATTCTTACAACCTCCCCCTCCCCCCTTAAAGTGGTACGTAATAGGAGCATCATCCTTTATATCAAGATTGTAATGTCTAACATCAAGGTCACTCGTGATTTTGTTGGTAGTTAACTTTGATGAAGCTGCAGCCTGAGAAGCCTGAGAGTCATTGTGTTTGTAGATCTTCGACTGGCACTCGTTTTTCCTAGATTTAAACGAGGAATTATCGTCCTACTTCTAACTCGTAATATATTAATACATTATTACTGTTTGGGTTATAAACTAAAACGAGCATTCCGAGATAAAATCATCATAATACTTTTGGTAGAACTGGTTAGTTTTAAAATTAATTCAACTCAGATCACATCAATCGTTCACTGTTCTTGCTTCAACATACCAAATTTTGTACAGTGTACATTTTTAACATCCACTCTTACCGATCTTTCAGCGACGTGGAAGTGACCTTCGAGATGATCACATTTCCCTCGCTGTCGATCCGATGGACCGCATTCCTGTCGGGGCTCTTGCCGAATGTACCGGTTCGGGCACGAATTCGTCTCACTGCACCTCCTGGTGCAAAGGATCCATTTGTCACGCTGCCCACCCCACTCAGCTTGGACTCCAGATAGTCATGGTTGCTCGAATATTCCCCATCCGCACCTGTCCCAGGTGTGTCGATGTTGTCCTCTGAGGAGTCATCAAAGTTGTTGGCATCGCCATTGTTGTTGTTTATGTTGGAATGGATGCCTCCAGCACCTGCTCCGGAACCGTGTAATGGTCCTAGTTTCGTATCTCTGTGGGTACCGTCCAGCGAAATGTTGGACAGAAAGGAGATCGCAGCCAATCTACGACGAAAACGGGTCTTGCTGTTCATAGAACTAGCCATTAATCGATGGAGTACAGTTGACTCGAGTTTTGTTCGGTTTAGGATTTCTCCACCCTTTACAATTTTTTCAGCACTTCAACCCAATCGCGCACGTACACACAAGAAACGAAAAAGACTAACCCAAAACCTAACAGAGAACACAAACCAACAACATAAAAAAAAACTAAAGAACTCGAGGGAATGATCCTCTTCCTAGTAGGGCCGTGAAGCTAATATCAGTTCTTTTTATTGGGAATCATCTTGAAGGTGGTGTCGGTTCTCGCGCTTTGTGCTTGCTCACTAAACTTTCTGCTGCCTCCTTTCTTTTCAGCTGATAAGGAAAACTGAGAACAAACAGTTTGTTCCCCACTACTTCCAGTTTCTCTGCTAAGTTACACAACCCAAGTCACGAGCAACGTAATGAAGAGCTATCAAGTCGTATCGAACGAAGAACCGAAGAGATTGTTTTCTTTACACGGAACGAGAAATAATGAATGTCCTGACGCGACGAAATCTGATTCCAAATTGGATATGTAAACACACGCAGCAGCGAATAATAAAATTTATGTCGGTCCGCCTGCGAAGAATGACGACTGATCTTGAATTTTCTTCTTTGCAGCGTTTTTGTTTTCCGACATAAGTGACATGTGAAGCCGAGACGGACCAATGTTGCCAGATTTTCAGGATCTGTTTCTAGGACAGAGGACACACCGTCTAGCACAACGTCGCAACGCCTGTTGCGTTGCGCGAGGACTATTTTTTGTCGAGCAGCTATTGGAAGATTGCCGCAAAAGCTCAACGCAGATGTCACCACTGCATGATGATGATAATGTTGACAGACTGCATATAAAATTCGTGAAAATTAGCATTAAATCATAATTTTCATCAAGCCTGCTTGAAATCCTTCTAACACAGACAAACAGACATAACACTCGTAAGTTGTTCATCGAACAAGCATTTAACGAACAATTTAAAAGTATCGTAGTTGGTAGTACCGCCACCTGTGGCGCGCAAAGTCAATTCCCTTGCGTTTGACGTTTACACACTACCGCCATCTGTTCAGCTTGGTGCCCACCACAGTGTATTCAACAAGTGGCGGTAATGTTTTAGCGACGATGTTTTACAGTGAGAAATATTCAATGTGTTATGTCTGTTTGTCTGTGCTTCTAATATAACATTCGAATTGAAGAAGAAAACGTTTTTACGATCAGACTGATTAGTGCATCTTTGACTTTTCCAGGTGAACTTTCATAACAGTGCTAACATTTGAAAACGGCGCAAAAGCCATTTGTAAACAAATGGTTTGTGGGCCCTTTACTCGCTACCCGAAGAACGCCCACGCAAACCAACAGCATCGTCAGGAAGGGGAAAATTTCCCCTACCCGATGTTACTGTTGTGTCGCGTGGGTGTACTTCAAGTAGTGAGTAAAGGGCCCACAAACCATTTGTTTACAAATGGCTTTTGTGCCGTTTTCAAATGTTAGCACTGATAAGATATATTCATAAGATATATTCATTTCATTTCATGGCTCCATCAATGCTGCATCGTAAATATGATGGTAAACAGAAGTAAATTGCTCAATTTCCCCAAATAAAGATGATTTGTCATCTTGTTATCACTTTGAAGACCATCTAGCACCATTTTATAGTATGGTGCGTGTTGAGTAAATCAAGTTCCGTTACGTTTTCCGTCGAAAATTGTGAGTATCAATATGTTTACCTAAAAAAGGCTAAAATGAACATTTATCGAATATTAGCGTCCTATACAACCATTTTCATTATCAACAGCATGATACAATCTTTCCTAAGTAAATTCACATAATTTCCACTTTCATCCTAGTGGAAATCGCACATATTCACCATTTTCCGAAAAATGCAGCTGCGCAGGAGGTAACCTCTCGCTGTGGGTGCAAACTTGTTATGCATTATTTTCCATGAAAACCTCTCCGATCCATACCGAAATAATAACAATTAGTTTTCAAACACGTTTTCTTACACGATTCAAGCAAAAGTTTCCACTGGAAATTATTAGTTTTTCTTTATGGACCGATTTGCCCCAAAAATCGTCTGTTTTACTTGGAGAAATTGGAAACTATCCTCCTTCTAGTAGTTCTCACTTCGAAATGTAGGTGGCGAAATCTTGGAAAAGTTTCACTGCAAGACGCCAATTGCACATGACGGCATGACTTTTCTCGAGGTTCTAGAAGAAAAAACTCAAAATAATGTTTTATTTCAAAGTTCGAGTGGTAGTAAACGTCATTTTAAGTGCTCGAATAAAGTGGTTGATTGTAAATACACACTTCGAAAAATACGTAAATTTGTACACGTTGAAACTAAAATATCCTAATAAAAATACTCAAAAATACATCAAAAATACTTTGTACACGAAAAAAATACATTTCATAATGAATTTAATACATTTTATAACAAAAATACACTAATCTTAAAAAGACATAAATACGAAAAAATACAAAACTTTTCAAGTCGGATAGATGAATCGAAAATACTCAAGTTGACAGCACCTCGTATTTTTCAACCGATTCGAGTATGAATATGACATTAAATGTAGTTTTGAAAGTTGGTGCATAGGTAAAAAGTGAGATTACGGAACGCCACTAGCGTATAGATACATAAAAAAGAAGCGAAAACACCACACACATTTTTTTGTTTCTTTATTAAAGTTTTCATCCAAAAGGCTGGTTCGCCTCTGTCACATGAATTTATCTGGAATACAACAATCTGGAAAAGGTCGATAGTATCTAACCGTCATAAAAACGGGCGAAACATAGGCTCGAAATTTCTTCTGTGAACGCAGCCGGGCGAATTACCTCGGGATGATACAAGATGCTATAAATCAATAGGGTACATGGCCCATTCTATATGCACGTCCGAAAGTGAGGATAAAAATAACAAAGCAACATTTTTGGCTGTAGCGAACATGAGAATAGCAAACATCGCACTTGAAAATGGGATTACACGAGTGTGTATCTTATAAACGTCAGAAAGGTCAATGAAACATTTTTATTTTTTCGAGTTGTGATTAAAAATAATAATATTTTTATTTATCACACTTTATGCTCACCAATAATTAAATAACTTAAGATCTCGCTATGCTATGCTTATTCTTGTTCGAAATTTCAGATTCATTTTTCACAGTTCAAACCCATTATTGGCGCATGGAAAAGTACCATTTCTGAACAGTTCAAACTTTTCTGAAACCTTACTAGCTATGTTAACTTTATACAAAATAGTTTTGTTATGGTTTATGGAACACGCAGAAAAAAAATAGTTCAACCAAACAAAATTCGTTTCATTTTTAACAAAATTTTGAATAGAATATGTCAACAAAAAATGTCAATGTTTATTGAATGAAACATCGGTTTTTATTGATTCAAAACAATGTTTGCTTGGATCAACTTGAAGCATTATTCAAAGAAATTTACGTTGTTAGTTGTATTGAAACGTAATTTTTATTGTTTCAGAATCAAATTTATTTAAATCCCAGGTTAGGTTAACTAGTCTTTTTTGAAACATGAACCAATATTTTTCAATTCTGGTTTAAAACAATTTATTTACTGAGCAACTGTTTATTTATTTATTTATTTATTTATCAATTGGCCTACACCGCAAATAGTTTTCATGTAGCTTCCATTGGAAACGCAAATGATTTTCATCCATAAACAAAAGTAATGGAATTCATCTAAATTTCACATAACATTTATGCGATCACGTTAATTTTATATGATTTTTCATATGAATTTCATCTGCCTTTCAATATTCATGTGATTTGTGGTGAGATTTTTAGCTATGTGAGCACATGAAAGCTATGTGAAATTCACATAGTTTTCATCCATGAGATATGTGATAAATTTTTTTAGTGTATTGCGTTGCATCATTTGCTGCGTGAATGAGTTGTAGAACGTGTTGTCCTTGTGTGCCTTGATGTGCATCATGATGTCAATTTGTTATTATTCATGGTAATTTTGAAGCGATTCTGCTGCTACCTCGGCTGCCACTAAGCTGCTGATGGTGACGATGCTGCTTCAACAAGGGATGGTTCCGTTGAATCTCCGGAACCAGACGTAGGTTGAAGTTGGCTAAATTCTGTTCCTCAAAGTTCGGTGAGGCACAGGGGGTACCAAGGGAGGTTCTGCATATGCAGTGCCAAAGTACGAATCCATCGATGATCAACAGTGTAGCCCAATTTCGCCCTATCGCACGTCAGCGCTGAAATTTTAAATGCAAGAAACTTTATTCATCAATATTATTTTTAAAACTAAAACTTACTTTTGAAGATCAAAGTTTGGAGGTAGCTTTTCCATAAGGATGAACTTTTTTACTATAAATAGCATCGATGTCGATACAGGCTGACAGTTTGAAACGTGTACTTAAAAATATTTAGTTGAAACAATAAAAACAGTATTAAACAATTTTATAGGTTTGAGTTAAATGAACTTCTGCATTCATTTGAATCTTTTTATTGAACTGAAACAAATAGAAATGTCGTTTTAAATAACAACAAAATATTTTGTTAATTTACGCCTCATTGTTTTTTTCTGCGTGAATGTAATAAACATAAAATAAACATTACTTTTTACTGTTATAATTTTTGGTATATTCCAGCAACATTTTTTTACGGTTGATCAACTATAAGAAACTATATTGAACTGTTGCAAAATATTACGAATGAAAGTTGTAAACAACTTTTACAACGCTTATGCCTTGTTCAGACTACAGAGTTATAACACAAACGAAGTTACAGACGACTTTCTCCGAAGAAATTAATTAAAATAAGGTGGTTCTCTGTAATAGAATTTAAGACCACTTTCCGCCGCTCACCGCCAGGTTCGCTAGTATTTTTGATTTGAATTAATTCAAGTTGGTTTTGTGTGCAATGATCTGGCAACTCGCGTTCTCACTCGCGTTGACGGGGTGCTGTTTTCTCACTCATCGAAGGAAATTTTGATTAGAGTGTAAGGAACAGTCAGCGCGGGAACCGTGTGCGGTACTATAGGTTCGGCAGAAAGAATGTAGTCGACTCCTTCGTTCTCACGGTGTTCTTACGCATGATCCAACGTTACGTCACACTAGATTATGCATAAGAACGTCGTGATAATGAAAGAGCAAAGTTTGTATGTTTGGGAGCCTCTCGTATTCAACTCGCATTCGTCCTCGAGTTCGTGTGGAAGCCATTCAGAGCGGAGGTGGCCAGGAGCGTGGCATTCGAAGTGGAACCGTTCCGACTCCACTGGTCGTTGGATTGGGGGAAGCCTGTGAAATCGCTAGCCGTGAAATGGAGTACGATCACAAATGGATGGAGTTCCTCTCGAAACGCCTGATGGACCAAATCTTCGGATCGCTACCGAAAGTCATCCGCAATGGCGATCCAGTTCATTCTTATCCCGGATGTATCAATCTGTCGTTTGCATACGTTGAGGGTGAATCGCTGTTGATGGCGCTGAAAGACGTTGCCCTCTCGAGTGGGTCGGCTTGCACTTCGGCTTCGCTGGAACCGTCGTATGTGCTGCGTGCGATTGGTGCCGACGAAGATCTGGCTCACAGCTCGATTCGCTTTGGCATCGGACGGTT